TAGGGCACAAGCCCTTATAGCTATATCAGCAAGTGAATTCATGGAAAGAAATTGATAAGTTGTCCATATTAATCAAGACTAACATTAATTTTACATTGATTCCATATAGGAAATACATTAAGCTTTGCAATAGCTATAAACAAGCTGAGAAATAGTAGGATTAACAAGCCATACACATTATTCTACATAGGGACTTCTTTCATTTTTAAACCTTATGCAGTGGGGTATGAAGCCATCATTGCAATGCCACATAGGCCTTCCTGAGCATCGATGTCTCTCTGCATCCTTATATATCCAGCTTCACCCCATCCCGTGCCCCACGAGTTTTTAACAAGCCAATACTTAGTCCCGTCAGCAGCAGTCCCATAACCAACAGCAGTGACACCATGGTCTAGTTGAGTGCCGCAGGTTCCTGTAAAGACTCCACTTGAGTAGAATTGGAAGTTAGATCCACTCGCATCAATGGCAACAGAGATAGGTTGATTAGCAACAGCCTTAAGTAGTGCACTCTCACTGTTGGCAGGCACATCTTCATACCCAGTTATCTTGGCTGCATGGTTTGCTGCTTTGTTTTTGTTGCAAGTGTCATCAGTTCCCTTGTATGGGTAGTTTGTTTCGGTGGTCAGGCCATTGTTTTGTTCAATGAATTTAAAGGCCTCATCCATTAGACCACCCCCGCAACCTTGGTCATTGCCAGATACGTCACAATCAACTAGCTCTTGCTCAGATAGTGAGACTAACTTATGAGTTGTTAATTGGTTAATTCCTTCCATGGCTGCCACAGCCGAAAATGCCCAACAACATCCTATATGTTGATAACAGATGAAAGAGTTAGAAAATAACTAACATCACGGTCACTTTTCTTATATGCATTGTGATCTAAAAATTATTACTTACCACATTGGCCTTGGTCCTTAACATGTGTTACAGCACCTTTCTTCCTCCAGTCCATGGTAGCTGGCACTGCAGTCACATTCTCATATTTGAATAGCTGCTTAGCTACGGTGCAGACATGACTCTTGAACCTATTGCGCAATTTGAACTCTTGGTTTGTAAGATCTGCGAATTGATTAACCCCAAGCTTGTAAGGCTTGTTTGAGGCTTTGTTAAAAGAATCTATCATTTCCACGTTGGCCTTGAATATCTTGAAACGTTCCTCCTTCTCAGCAGTGTCCTTGTAGACACGGCCAAAGCTAGTCATCCATTGCTCGTGCCTCTCATACATTGATTCCTCTTGAAGGGAACGAGATGCAGCTTGAGAAGCCAAAGTTCCCAAAATGAATAGCAAAGCGAAGAAGATGGATCGGTACAGCTGCTGGTTTTTGGAATCCATGGTTCTTCTGCCAAGAGGTAGGAAAGGAGACTGATAGACTGTGAGTTGGGTGGTGCAATGAATTTTGCATTGTCCCTGGGCTTTATATAGAGTAATATGATTTTGTCACGATGCATACTATTGTTGTGGTTCTTCAAAGAAAATAAAAATTAGTGCTCTCTGCGTGCCTTAATAAAATGTTATGACTTAGACTCAGCAGATTAGATATGTTGATTAATAGGACTTCATTTGATTACTCTTTATAATGATATCAGATACTTTTATCTAATAGTACTAATTTGTATAGTTTATGATTAAAGTACAATAATGAATGATATCAATACCGGTAGTTATTTGGTCACAAGATAGTTTTTTAGATGTATCATTATATGACAAAAATTTCTTTGGACTGATGATACGGAACGTTTTCTTGTATCAGGTACATGACCATAATATTGATCATTACCAAAAACATGAGGTTAATTAAGGATGTATTTGAATCATGGATTGAATAGAGATTTAGAAAGAAAAAGGGAAAAAGTAGTGAAATGTAGTTATATTTCATTCATATTTCACCCACATTTTTCTTTTTCCTTTTTAAATGTTTACTCAAATTCATGATCTAAATACAACTTAAGTGATTATTATGCTATACAAACATAATTTATATACAAAAATTCTAAATTAGTTTATTTAAAGGGGGATTCGAGGAGGAGAAATGTTAAAACTTATAATTTTAAACCCTCAATAATGTGACGAGGGAGTTGAACCTTAGATGATTATGTAACAAATAACAAGTTGACACTTATAATGTCATATTATTATAGGTCAAATTGAGTGAATTTTTTTAGAACTCTCAAACACTTTCCAAACAGATTTATGGTACAAAACATAGTTCAATTTTGTTCATATATTATCAAAGTGTGTAAATGAAACACAAATTTAAATTAGTGATACACAATTTTAAATCAATCAAATTTTATGTTTTATTCTACACTCTCACAGTGTGAACGAAATTTATATTCCAAAGCATGGGATGGAATTTGGACTTACATTTCTTGGTAAGAGTAGACGTATTCTTGTCGGAAAACTCGTCAAAATTGAAACTGAAAAAAATTATTACTGCAATCGTGTAATTGTTAGCACTAATTTAGTCCTTCGTTCATTAAGAATATGTTTGTATTCTGAATTGAATTTGTGGAGGGAAGGGAGAAAAAGTAAAGGAAAACCAAAATGAAGTAAAAGCTAAAGGTCCATTTGTTTTAGAGAAAAATATTAGAGCCAGAAGTCCAGGCATTAACACCTGTTGCTGCAAAATAAGGTAAATGCTGGCCTTATTGGCACCAAGTGTAAATCAGAGACTCTGCCTTCAAAACCGTCATTTGCATAGTTTTGTAAAAATCTTTACAAAATGCTGGCCTTGTTAACCAATTACTCATCCAGAAGATTAGAGAGAGAGAGAGAGAGAGAGAGATGAAAACAAGTTCCTCTTCATTCCAAAATGTTCGGGGACTCAAGTTTTCTCAATCTATGTGCCTAACCAAGCTAAGTAATGGAAATAATGCCTTTGTTAAGTTGACATTGAAAATTGAGAGCCACTGCTGCTCACTGAGGCATGTAATAACCAAAAGAATCTTTTATTGCAGAAGAAAACTCAAAACAACCAAAAAGGGTTACATTTTTATTTTTACCATGGGACAGACGAGGGAACAATATTAATTATCCCTAGAAGAGGTCCCCGGCAAGCAAACAATCATCTCAGCTTGTCTAATCCAATCGACGTATAAATATCGAAGTGCTAACAAGGCTGAAATTGATGCATACTTATTCATTATCATTAGAGGCAGCAGAGTCATCTTCGAAGGAAGCTTCTGGAAAGAATGGCAAACAAACATGTATGATGGCCGAATATAGGCAAGTCCAATGATGCACAATATCACTGGCTTTGTTTTGGTGTATACACATCTAAGCAAGCAACAAAATCACTTCATTCTCAACTACAGGAGAATTTCAATTAGATGATATTGAGCAAAATCGTTACTCTTATACAGTTGAGAGAATGCTCCTGGTTGAAACCAACTAAAACTTTTTTTTAAAAAACCATGAAATATAACGCCTTCAACAACATTTTTTTTATCAATTAAATCTTATATACTAAACATGCTTATAAATGATCTGCTTACACGATGGAAGCACATATATGTCTGCACTTCAGTTTGAACAATTTCACAAATTAGCGGCTCTTTATTATGGTTTGATATTGAGGTTCAGGGGGTAGCACCACCGTGATAGTACTAAAACTTCCATTGCAGGGCTGTAAACACATTCATAAGTTTATGATTTTCTATTTCTATTTTTCTCTAGAACGTGTTTACCTTGTTACACTATTCTCGAATATAGCCAACGAGCACGATATGCACCTCCCCATTGCATATTTGCTCATTGCTTACATGAAGTTTATGAATTTGCTGCAAAGGAACATGAGATTAGCCACTGAGTATTTTCATATTGACAAAAATAATAAACATAAGACATAATAGTAGGCTTCAAGATAATAATAAACAAAAATAATCAAGTTTTTCCTTGTTTGGGAACAAGTTATTTTAGTAATTTTTTGACTTTTTACGAAAAAATGTGCAAAAAAGTAGAGAGAGTGATGTGAAAATATAGTGACTTGTTGACTTTTTGGCTAAAATATATAGTTGCCAAACGAGGCCTAAATGTTATCCTAAATGCAGACACTTTTTTTTTTGCCCTTTCATAAATCAATTATGCCATATATCGTAGGAGAGAAAGAGAAGAAGGAAAGAGGGGAGAAACAAATTCAATAATGCTAGGTTTCATGAAAGAAATATCATGAAGATTCTCCACTCTTGGATTAGTTTGTAGTGTTTTATTGTATGTTTATACAATCACCTAATAAATGTTTTTTTCTCTACCTATAAGCCAACCAAACATGAGAAAATAAGAAATTTTTATCCTGCTTGTCTTTTCTCTCTTACAAAACATAGGATTGAAATACACATGACTTGACCCCATTAGGGAATATTCGTTAGATTTCCATGGCTTTTGAGCATTCAAGTCTGTCTGCCAGATCTGAATACAAAGAAATAAACAGTAAAGTATTTCAGATCTGAAATGTTGTAAACAAATCATAAGGAAAAGAAATAGACTCTTTGAAATGATATGCAGAAAGGAAATGACATATGCAGTGATCTTATTTTGATCCCAAGTCTGAGAATTGTCAACTTCAAACTTATTTTGTTTTACTTGAAAATGTGAAATTTCTTAATTTCAAACCAAGAATCTTTTTATTTTTAAAACCTTGAAATGTTGATCCCAATTACTCAAAACTAGGAAAATTACCAGTGTCCAAAATGATCTTTTTTTTCCTTTCACCCCTTTGAGATCTCTCCTGCTATAAGATTAACAACTTTATGGGTTGTATCAATTTTCTTTATTTTAGAAACTTTAGGAAAATAAATTTTTGATTCACTAAATTCCAAACTGAGGGACAAATATTGAATGCATTGATTGCCTTCACTCTCCTGGTATGTTTGGTAGTTACTTTAGTTGTTGTTTGGACTGGCTGTTATGATTGGTTGTTATTGATTCATGAAGAACTGATCAATGTTTTTCAAATGCTTTTGTTCTAAATTGCCCAGGGCACAAGCCCGCTAGAGATATAGGACAACTATATCAACAAGTGAGTTCATGGAAAGAAATTGATATGTTGTCCATATTAATAAGACTAATTTTACATTGATCCATATAGGAAATACACAAAGTTTTGCAATAGCTATGAACAACCAAGAGCTGAGAAATGTAGAATATACCCGTGATACATATTATTCTACGTATGAACTTTCATTTTTTAACCTTATGCGGTGGGGTATGAAGCCATCATTGCAATGCCACATAGGCCTTCCTGAGCATCAATGTCTCTCTGCATCCTTATGTACCCTTGTTCACCCCATCCTGTGCCCCATGAGTTTTTAACCAGCCAGTACTTCATCCCATCAGTTGCGGTCCCATAACCAATGGCAGTGACCCCATGGTCTAGTTGAGTGCCACAAGTTCCTGTAAAGACTCCACTCGAGTAGAATTGGAAGTCAGATCCACCTGCATCAATTGCTACAGAGATTGGTTGATTTGCAACAGCCTTCAACAATGCACTCTCACTATTGGCAGGCACATCTTCATACCCAGTTATCTTGGCTGCATGGTTTGCTGCTTTGTTTTTGTTGCAAGTGTCATCAGTTCCCTTGTATGGATAGTTTGTTTCAGTTGTCAGGCCATTGTTTTGTTCAATGAATTTAAAGGCCTCATCCATAAGACCACCCCCGCAACCTTGATCTTCGCCAGATACGTCACAATCAACTAGCTCTTGCTCAGATAGCGAGATTAACTTAGCAGTTGTTAATTGGTTAATTCCTTCCATGGCTGCCACAGCTGAAAATGCCCAACAACATCCTATATGTTGATAACAAATAAAAGAGTTAGAAAATAAAAAACATCATTGTCATTTTTCTTTTATGCTGTGGTCAAAAAAATTATTACTTACCACATTGGCCTTGGTCCTTAACAGGTGTTACAGCACCTTTCTTCCTCCAGTCCATGGTAGCTGGTACTGCGGTCACATTCTCATATTTGAATAGTTGCTTAGCTGCAGTGCAGACATGACTCTTGAACCTATTGCGCAATTTGAACTCTTCGTTTGTAAGATCTGCAAATTGATTAACCCCAAGCTTGTAAGGCTTGTTTGAGGCTTTATTAAAAGATTCTATCATTTCCACGTTGGCCTTGAATATCTTGAAACGTTCCTCCTTCTCAGCGGTGTCCTTATAGACACGCCCAAAGCTAGTCATCCATTGCTCATGCCTCTCATACATTGATTCCTCTTGAAGGGAACGAGATGCAGCTTGAGAAGCCAAAGTTCCCAAAATGAATAGCAAAGCAAAGAAGATGGATTGGTACAGCTGCTGGTTTTTGGAATCCATGGTTCTTCTGCTAATAGGAGGTAGGAAAGAGCACTGATGGGCTGTGAGTTGGAGGTGCAATGAATTCTGCATTGCTCTTGGGCTTCATATAGAGTTATATGACTTTGTCACAATGCATACTATTGTTGTGGTCTTTCAACGAAAATAGAAATTATTGCTCTCTGCGTGGCTTAATAAAATGTTATGACATAGACTCAGCAGATTAGTTACGTTGATTAATAGGTTTTCATTTGATTACTCTTTGTAATGATATCAGATAGTTGTATCTAATAGTACCAATTTGTATAGGTTATGGGTGAAGTACAATAATATGAAAGATCAATACAGCTAGTTATTTGGTCATAATCACAAGATAGTTTTTTAGATGTATGTCATTATATTACAAAATTTTTGTTGGATTAATGATACGGAACGTTTCATAACAGGCAGCTTTATTTTGTCACGTACATGACCATAATATTGATTATTACAAAAAAGAAAAAAAAAATGAGGTTGATTAAGATTGTTTGAAACATGAATTTGGATTGAGATTTAAAAAAAGTGTAGAAAATATAATTATATTTTACTTACCTCTTTTTTTCCATTTTTAAATTTCTACTTAAATTTATAATCCAAGCACAGGCTAAGTGCTAATTAATGCTATACAAACATAACTTATATACAAAAATTCTATATTAGTTTATTTAAAGGGGAGATTCAGGAAAGAAAATAACTAGAAACTTACAATTTTAGATAACATAATGATGTGACAAGAGAATTGGACCCTCTATAATTGAATATGTGACAAATTACAAGTTGCCACCTATTATGCAATATTATTGTAGGTCAAATTGGGGGGATTTTTTTCAATTAAAGTCCCAAACATTTTCTAAACAGATATACGGTAGAAAACATATATTGTCCGATTTTGTTTATATACTATCAAAGTATGTAAATAAAACACAAATATTAATTAGTTCAAACAATGGAATTCACAATTTTAATTAGGGTTCAATACACAGTTTTAAATCAATCAAATTTTATGTTTTATTCACACATTCTGACAGTGAACGAAATTTAAATTCCGAAACATGGGATGAAATTTGGACAAACTAAATTAAATTTTCTCATAAGAGTAGAAGTATTCTTGTCGGAAAACTTATCAAAATTGCAAATGAAAAAATTATTTCTACAATCATGTAATTGTTAGCGTTAATTTAGTCATTTGTTCATTATACATTTGGATTTATCAAAATTGCAAATGAAAAAAAATATTACTCCAATCATGCAATTGTTAATGCTAATTTAATCATTGGTTCATTATATGTTTGGATTTTGAATTTATGAAGGGGAAAAAAGAAAGAAAAAACCAAAATTAAGTAAAAGCTTAGGCTTCGTTTGTTTCCATAAAAATAGAGCCAAAGGCATTAACACCTGTTATTCACATAGTGTGTGTGTGTGTGTGTGCGTGTGAGAGAGAGAGAGAGAGAGAGAGGATGAAAATGAGTTCCTCTTCATTCCAAAAAAGTTTGGGGACTCAAACTTTCTCAATCTATGTACCTCACCAAGCTATGTAATAGAAATAATGTCTTTGTTGACAATGAAAATTGAGAAACAATGATCTTCACTGAGGCATGTAATAACCAAAACAGTCTTTCATTGCAAAAGAGAACTCACAACAACCAAAAGAGGCAACATTTTATTTTTGCCATGAAAGGGACAAGGGAACAAATATTATTTTCCCTAGAGAGGTCCCCGCAAGCAAACAATCGATGTGGAAATATGGAAGTGCTAACAATGCTGAAGTTCATGCATACTTATTCATTATCATCAGAGTCATCAGAGTCATCTTCGAAGGAAGCTTCTGGAAAGAATGAGAAACATGTATGATGGCCAAATACAGGCAAGTCCAATGATGCACGAGCTATAGACTTGTCTTCTTCAGGTATTTCAATGTCACTGACTCTGTTTTCCTATGTACACACATACTTCTGTTTAGAAGAGGCTTTAGTATAAGCAAGCAACAAAATCACTTCATTCTCAACTACATGAAAAATTCAATTGGCTGATATTGAGCAAAATCAGTACACTCTCGTACAGTTACAAGAATGGTCCTGGTTGGTTCAGATTAAGAACCGTGACACAAATCGAGTCCGAACTGTAGCGAGGTCCCCCGCGGACTTGTTACAGTGATGATGTATATTGTGCTCGTTCTGGGGTTGCAGAGTCTCGGCTACGAGCCTTGCCTTCGGACTTCGGGGCTCTTTTGTGCTTTGCCGCGGTTTGCGAACCAAGTCATGTTTTCTCTATTTTCTCTTCCCGAAGAGAGGGAGAGGTCTCCTAGACCATCTCTCAGTGGCCGTAGGCTACGTTTCGTGGTCGTAAGTCATTTTTCCCGTTTGGAGCCCAGTTTTCAGTTTTCAGAGCCGTCGGCCGTGTGCCTCAGTTCGGGACCGCTTAACTACCTCCATTTGCTCCGATTTTTGGTACACACCTTGTTTCCTCCCTTTAGAGGGACACATCGGCCCAGGAGACCACCTTCGTGGTCATACGCCACTTCCGGTGCCTAACAGCCAATTTTTGGGGCCCCGGACTGCGCGTTTTGGCCCCCGAACCTTCGTTTTGCATCCGTCTTGGTCCATTTTTGGTAGGGACCCTATTTTCATTGTGAGGGAGGTGGTAGTATGTTGGGAGGCCACCTTTTCCCCTTGGAAACTAGTTTTCTCTTTTTCTCTCTCCTAAAGCCGATTTTTCTGACAGAAAGCTGGTTTTTCCCACTTTTGTGCCACAATTTCTGGCTTTTCATACCACCACTGTGTTGTACTCATCTGGGAGGCCACCAATAAGGGTGGGCCGACCAGTAATTCTTCTTGACCCTTTTGAACCTTGCTAAAAAGCTGGTTTTTCTCTCTCCTCGGTCACATTTTCTGGTTTTCCACCATACAGTTGTGTTGCACTCATCTGGGAGGCCACCTTTCTGGGGTGGCTGGCCAGCATTTCTCCTTGACCTTTTTGACCCCTGGTTGGCCGACCAGGGGGAGTGGCCGGCCGACCACCTTAACTGGTCGGCCTGCTTCCTGCTTTTTGGTCTCTTTGAGTGTAAGCCAGCTGTGCCAGCTGGAAGCCTCAGAAGTGATATGGAGGATCTTTGAGCTTTGTTTGAAGCTTCTTAAAGAAGCTTTGACCTCTCTTCCCTATAAAGGGAGGCCTCCTCTTCCATTTGCAAGGGTTAGAAAGTTTTGGCTGGAGCATACATACAACTCCCTCTATCTCTGTACTTCAAGCCTCCAAACCCTAATATTCTTGGCCATTTTACACTACACCTCATAGCCTACCACCTCCACCATCCATTCCAGCACCTTGGAGGTCATTTGCAGAGGTTGAGAGCTCACATTCTTGGTCCAGAAGTTGCTGCATTGTTGTGCTACAAGGGTAAGTCTTCATTTACCCCTTTTTTACACTATTTTGCTCTATACTTTAGCTCCATTTGAAAGCATTTTAGAGCTTTGGCATAAACTGAAAAGTGTCTTATTTTGAGCCCCACTTGAACTTTTTTTAAGGACACTTTTCTGTTTGAGGCCATCTACCTCCTTGTTTGCTCCATCTCTCTTTTAAGGCTTATTTTGCTTCAAATCTTAGCCCTATTTGTGAGCATTTTTGGACTTCGACCTAAACTGAAAAACTAGAAAAAGTATTGTTTTGATCTTCTAAACATGTTTGTTTAAGGACTGTTTTCTGTTTGGGGTCATCTTCTCGCATGCTTCATTTCCTCATGCTTTGAGCCATGCATTTGAGCATTTGCATTGGCCTTGTTTTGGCCTCTTAGCCACTGAAATCCAGTGGATTTTTAGTGGCTTTGATGTGTCTTTGAGCTCCAAAATCATAGAGGGGTGACCCTCTCATCCCTCATTCTCTTTACTAGCTTTGTTGGCCTTCCAAAGGAGCTCCATTTTTCATAAAATTGAAAAATTACTTTAAAAAAAATTTATTAGCAAAACCTGCAGATTGAAGCAGATGTCCATTGCTATACTAAACCTTTGAATAAAGAGGTTCAATTGGCAATGCATTATCCACCCCTGAAATCATCAAATTAGATGGCATCAAATCAGATAATGTGGGGTCAAGATCAAGAAGGTAAATAAATTCGAAAGATATATATACAGTCTTCAAATGGTGGAAGACCCCATAGCTCGGGCCGGAATTCTAGAAGTGAATGAAGCACAGAATCTGCAATGTAATACTGATTGGCTGCATTTTGAAGTGAGGGAACAGCCACTACCTTCATTCCAGCTGCCCTTGCTGCTTTAACACCAACCCTATTGAAATATATGGATAATACGAGTTACTAAATAAAAAAGTTATATGTTTCCAAGTGACAGGAGTATACTAGACGGTAGCTGCAAAATGGACACCATGGGAGTTATAGTGCTTAATAACTACAATCTAAATGGTTTATCTATCAGGAAAAGGAATCACAATCCCCAAAACTAAAAGGGTACATCCACAAACCAAATTTACTTACCTCGACACATTTTGACTGTAAAGTCACCAATAGTCCCAAAAGCTGAAGCTGTTGAGAAATTAGTCTAACAATGCATATCAAGTTATTTAACACCGTCCTTGACGTGGAACCCTGTCCTTTATGTGCAACCCCGTCTTAGATGTGGACATGCAAAGAGACATACATAGAGAGAACCAGAATGCAAAGGCGGAATAAATGCAAATGGAGAGATTTGAACCCAATACCTCCCCGATCCTAAGCTCCAATGCCATGTTAGTTAGATCACCACTGGTACCCAAAACTTCAGCTATTAGGAAATGGGACCAACAATGTAGATCGAGCTATTAGGGGTTTTGTTTATGCACTTTTTGTTTCCTTATATTGAGCAAATATCCTTTGGTTTCTGTTCTTTTACTTTTATATTTTTTTTTCTTTTTCTACTCAGCAACTTGCAGGTACCTAAGATGTTAGAAAGATGATACAAATATTAAAATTGGCTAGTTCACAACTAAAATCACAAAATGCTACAATGTCCTCAAAAGGCATGCAATTCATTACTTGGAAAAGGCACACCATGGAATTAATTGGTTTGAGCTTACCAGGACACACATTTAGTAGACATACTCCAGCATACTATGCTAATAATTTTAAGAACCAGGAGAATGAAACAGAACATACTAGCAACATTTATCGATAATTAAACTTATTTCTAATGATTAATTGAATATAGTTTAAACCAAGGTTGACTTACATGGAATCTTCTATCACAAGGCAGCGAACTGCATCTACTCCCATTTTATTTGCAGCTTCCAGAAATCTGATCACCAATTAAAAGTTTTGCAGGATTAATGATGACAAGTAAGTAATCATCTTGTAAAAGATAAAAGTTAAATATTCTGTAAGAGAAAATGGGAAAATTTTGAGGTCAAAAGCTATGTAAGGCCTCTCAAATACATGGAATGACTCCACGTGTGTTTTATGACATTTATAACAAAATCATTCTTTTTTTTTTTTTTTTTGATTGGCACTGGGATGTCCAGATCATTCATTTTTGTTACACAGAGAAATCTTCTTAGATACATGAGAAAAAACCTTGTACCAGTTCTTTACAATCATTTGCGTTGACACCTCCACCATAGCAAATGGAATTGGTCCTTTAAATGCTATGATTTGAAAAGGACAGTTGTGATTGGGAATGGTTATTCCCTTTCCATGCAAAACCAAGCACATTATTGTAAGTTGCAACGGAATTTCTTAAAATATCTTTACTTACAGATCTGGAGAGGGTTTCCCTGATTTGACTTGGTCACTTCCAAGAATTACTGAAAAGTATTCCCTCCAACCTATTGAAATAAGTTGGACTAAACAACATTAATTGGAGAAACTAAACATACAAATGCCTACCAACCATAAAACATATAACAAAGCCAAATAATAGCACATGTTAACAAACAGAAAAATTAGTGAGAAGGGGAAAGAGGGTGAAAGTAAGATTCACAATTAAAACTGATTGATCTTTCTGTGTGAGTTCCAAGAGATAAACATAGAAAGACTAAGACAAATTCCATAATTCACCTGGTAGTTTATTAGTTACACAAAAATTAACGATGGAAGACGCAAGTGTATGATATTTTCACACACAAGAATGGAAATTTAGCAGACAAGGTTTTCACTGGAATGAAAATTTTGAACATTTTAATTTGGTTTTAAGTCGAGTTCAAATTTCAGTCAAATTCATCATCAGTCTATGTAAGCACTAAATTAGCTAAATGTTATGATGGTGTTCAATTAAAATTTCACCAGGCAGAAACAATACTCAGCCATTCAACAATAACACAAATACATTTTTAGAAGATAGTAATAGGTGAGCGCCTGGAACAAAAAGCAGCACTGCAATGTTTATGGCAATTGGCAACCTAGCTAAATTATTAAGCTATAGAAAGAAAGAAAAAAAGAAAAAAAGTCCGGTACCACCACCATAGAGCTAACCTGTACATAACCATTTATGAAATAAACAACTTCATGCATGAGCAGGAAAAAACAACAGGTGTCAGGGCAGTTTGGGTCATGTACAAGGTAGCAGCAAGCTACCATTCATCACATTATAAAACACCCCAATTCTAATCTTTCTATTACAAATCCTAGGCCTTTCTGCTTCTGAAAATTCTTCTGATATGGAAAAGGGAGAGCAAAATGACGAGATCTTTTTAATGGAGAAGTTTAAAGAAGTAAAATTAATACACTAAACAGTGGGTGAGATTTGTTTGAAGAGACATTAGACATCCCTAAAAGGGTTCTTACGGTTGGTAGCAGTGCAATTTGGTATTCTGAAATTCAGTTCCCATCCTAACTTAGTTCTGTCCTGGATTAACATAACAGAGAGCAGACCATGGTCAAAGCATGATAATACTAACAATATAATAGTAAGCATATACCAAACCTACAATATTTTCTTTATCAAACTTGACATACAATATCAATAAAAAGACTCAAGAAAGAAAAACAATCAATATATCAAGAAGACAAGAGAAGTGAACCTTTTTGATGAGAGATTTTTGTATCGATGTTTTTCCGCATAGAGTTTGAAGCAAGTGCAAACGACTTTTCATGCTTATAAAGATGTTGGATAAGACGATTAGCACCAGGAAGTGCTTTTGCATGCACCCATCTAGAAGAAAGCAGTTGCATAGTAAGAAAACATTTCATATGCTGGTATAATGTATCAAAGTCCATGGTTAAAACATGTAATAGTTGTGAAGTATGTATCTGATTCATTAGCATGATGAACATTGAAGGATGTTACAGAAGGTAGATATTATTTATATTGGTTTATTTACACACACATACATTCGGATTTAATTAACATAGTAGGCAGAATTAAGTGTGTTACTGTGTGCAACTACAAATAGTTAGAGAACAAGAAAGTAACTAGAGTATGAGACGGAAACTACATGTAATGGGGGATTAGTCAGGACGAAGCCTCAAACACTCTTGCGATTAAAAAAGAGTTACACATAAATGTATAACTATCTACAAAACAAAACCCAAGGTGCAAAGCTGACAGTAAAACTACCTCAAACTAACAAAAACTCTAATTACAAGGTGTTTATATATTCAACCCCCATTCCAACTTTTATCGATCAGGTAGACAAAAGAAAATCAAGAAACTAGGTTTCTTCCAATTCTTGACTACTATGATATCAATATTGAGAGAGAGAGAGGTATACTTTTCCTGGTACATGGGTGTGATTTCTTCGCTAAAACGATCAGTTGTGATTGGAAGATCATAGTCCTTAATAACAGCCACTGATGACTCTTTGAAAGTCATTCCCAACCTCTGATCTTCCTTCTCCCTATCCAAAACCTTCCCATATCTTGCCAAAAGTTCCCCTAAAACCCCCTTCGTAGTTTGCTCTGCACACACAAGACCATACAAAGTTTCACATATATACATATACACACATATATGAATACATACATAGAGGAAAGACAAGAACGATAGGAGTTAGGTACCTGTGTTCAAAATGGTACCATCCAAATCAAGAATCACAGCAGAAATATGGGTCTCTCCATTCTGGGATTCACACTCAAAATTGTTCATTGGTAACTCAGAAGTTTGTGGGTATATGAGAGAGAAGACAAAATGAGTGAATTGAATACAATACTATAATTTTTTTTGGATGGACAGTGAATTGAGAATTGAATATGAGGAAGAGAGCATTTTAAAGAGAATTGTGATGAAGAATGGGATTGATTCCCAATGAGGCAATTTGGTTGGGTAGTGTCATCGCGTAAAGAACCCACAAATTGGGCAAATTGGGAAGTTGGATTCAACTTCTTCACACAGAGAGAGAGAGAGAGAGAGAGAGAGATTTCCCGCCTTCCCTGAATGGCATGGTATAATTCACAGCATATGCTGCATGCCTCATTCTCTCAATGATGCCTAGGGGTGCAAGTGTAATTTTATATGTGGTTAGTAGCACCTTAGGTAGAGTTGCAGGAAAGTGATTATAACTTATAACTTAACAGCTTAGAATTTATAGTTGTGAACATAAATTGATTTTTGACTTATAAATTAAGTTTCTCCTCCCCTACTTAAAGAATAAGTTGATTTTTGACTTATAAAAAATTATAAGTTGTATTGTTAAGCTGAACCAAACACATGAAAATAGCTTAAATTAAACTAAAAGCTGAAATAAACTGGAAATAAGCCCTACCAAACAGGGCAAGTGTTTGGCTTAAAATTTGAAAACTTTATCAACCCAAATTATACTTTTAGGCAACAGTTTCTCTTTTGTCCAAATCGAATTAGAAGATATTGTTAGACTTTTGTGATCCATCACAGAATTTGTATCTATAATTCGAACTGTTAATATATATAGTTCGCCGAATAGTTTATCTGCGCAAAAGTCACATTAATCGGATATTGATAATTACTTGATCAGTTCACATTTTTGTCAACGGTAAGTATGATTTTTAAAATAAATTATTAATACAAAAGTGATCTGATTAAGTGACTATCAATATCCAATCAACTTAATTTTTTACAAAAATAAAGTATTCAACGAACTCTACATATTAAACAATTCGGATCATTAATGCAGGTTCCATAATGGGCCCACTAAAGCCTAACAACACCCTCCAATTAAGATACTCAACTTGAGAGGAGCCTCTCCATATTTTTAATATATATAAATATAAATTATCTGTAATAAAATATGTAATGTTATAAATTACAAATTATTTTCTTACAATTTTGATTAAACGATGTTTCAATTTTACGATTTAATACACATAATTTTTTTTACGAAAAATACTAACAAGTGCTCCTATGCTTTGTTTAATGTTAAAAAGTATGTATAAATGTTTTCAAAATATGTAAAACTATTAAAAAGTATATTTCTTTCAATAAAAGTACATTAAATTTGATGAAAAGTGTGTTGTGTTTTTTAAATATTTTAACTGTTTTTACTTGCATCTTAAGAGTACTTCTTAACCTGACTTTTTTTTAAATAAAAAGTAATTGAAAAGAACATTGATAATTTTTAATGCATTTCATAATGACACAATTTTATTAGCAGACAATTTCATCCTTTCAAAAATTTCTTCCAATCTCTTATTCCTGTCACGATTGGTTTCATGACATCATTACAAGGAATATGAATCTAGTAGTTACACAGAATAAAGTTAAGTTTGACAACTCAAAATAAATACATATTTTTTATCTTTTTTTTATCACATCATTTATCTATTTTTTTACATATTTTTTCATAAAAACATAAAAAGTACACTTATTTAGGTCATCCCAAACAACTCCTAAGAACCCTAGTCGTTGCGAAGTTTACTTATAGCTTAATCACATTGTTACAAGAATATGAATCTACTAGTTGCAAAGAATAAAAACCTTAGTCCTCACGAAGTTCACTTTGGGCTTAGTTCAAAAAAGAAAACTTGAAACTAACTGAGATTTACATAAAAGAGTATGCTGACAGCAACGAGATCCACACATTACAGTAGATTTGGTTTGGCCATGGTTGTTGCTATATGTTTTTATTTAAAAAACAGAAAAAATAGAAAACAATAATGCTACGGCCCAAAGAGATGACCGAATAAATGACCAAACACTTAGCTGGAGTGCCACTTAAGATTAGTGGGACCCACGACTAAACAACTCTCATTTTGCTCTCACGTGGAAGAAAGATAAGAATAGGTTTGTTTGTGAATCGACTTTGTGCGGTTTGCGGTTTGGTTTTGACCCGCCCGTATTTATGCGGTTTGAAAAAAAGTCAATTCGTAACCGCCCGTAGTATAGTTTGTGGTTTGTGCGAATAGGGTTTGCAGATATGCGGTGGTTGCGGACGATTTGCGGTTTGCACTTTTTTCTTTAAAAATTAATTTTTGAGTTTTTTTTTTCCCTCGAATTTAGGCATCAGATTCATTTTATATATTTGTGATCATTTGACAGCAATTTTCTAATGAGTTTACAAATAAAAATTGAATATCAATACATTAAATTAAAGTACCCAAAACAAAGAGCCCTACACTAGCATTTTTGCCATGAAAAAAATTTACATCAATGCATTAAAAAATGTATATCAATGCATTAAAGGTTGTACTCAATTAGAATTGTCAATTTAGTAATCAATAATCCAACTAGAAGCTCCATCAACCATTATAAGAAAAATTTATTAGGAAAAAGTAGATGAGTCACCAATGAAAATCATATAAGAAACCAAATTTAGGACTTAATAATTCTACGGCATTAAGAAAGTTGAGAAATACTTTAAAATAAGGATCCTAGTGTCATAGAGAACATAATGGTGGTTCTGTTAAAGTTACAAAGTTGGTATATAAAAAATAATAATAATAATAATAATTAAAGCGCAGGCGGTTTTTGTGGGTTGCGGGTTTAACCCAAGACCCGTCTGCAACCCGCAAATTTGTTATATTTCAAATTGCATCCGCCCACATTATGTTTGTAAAACCGCTCATTTACATGCGAGTTGGGCGGTTTGAGCGGTTCGGATAAACCGTTGCCTACCCTTAGATAAGAAGCATTAAAGAAAAACAAAACAAAAAAAAACAAAAATGAGGGGCCAAAACCCCTCAGCTTCTTTCAGTCCATAAAAGCAAAATAGTCACCACTGAAGAAAGGAAAAAATCGCTAAAGAAAGTGGAGTGCATGGAAAGAAGAGGATTGATCAAGTAAGTTTTTAATTCGTGAGATTTAGTTTTTTTGTAAGGTTTAACTTGTTAAAATTATAAATTTTAATTTATTTTTAAATTTTTGGAAAGCTTTTTTTTCCTCTAATTTTTGCAAAAGTTATATTTTTTTAGGTTTATTATTTTTTTAGTGAACAATGATTTTTTTTTTTAATTGAGAAATTTATACTCTAACATTGTGTCCCACCTTTTTATTTTTCATTTTCAAATCCCTAATTGAGAGGGAGATTTATAATCTGGCTTTGGGCTATGGTGGAAGCCGGACAGAAAGAGGGCCGAGCATGTTTGGGCCGAGCTAACTTGGGCCTGTCCAAGTTGGTTTTGCTCGGTCGAGACCCAGGTCCCATGTTTAGGCCGAGTTAACTAGGGCTTCCCCGAAGTTGGTCTTGCTCGGCCGAGGTCCAGGTCCCATGTTTGGGCAGAGCTAGTTTAGCCGAGATGTTCGTTTGCTAACCCGGGTTTCGTGGGAGCATGTTTAGCTCGGTGGGGAAGGTCTTCTGAGTACCGGCTTAACCTATCTGGAACTCGGTCTTGCCGGAATGCTATTGAGCTTGGTTGTGATGGATCTCGGCAAGCAGCGCCCTCAGATTCGTTACGTAGCACAGTCATATGAGGTCGAGGTGATGCCGCCGGGCTGCCTTGTGCCCGCAAATGTTGTTTGGCGGTTTGATTAGGTGGTGTTAGCTGGATTTGTGCTGATAGATGGGAGAGCAGCTCCACGTGTCAATAGGCTAATGGGTGCAGAGTTGGGCGCAGAAAGTATATAAGCGTGACTACGCCCCCCATGCTAGGGATGGAACATCATTTGGTGAGATAGACTTACATTCATTGAGCTTCTCTCTCTCTCTGAGTGTGTACTAACTTGACCGTCGGAGGGGTTTCCGGCAACACACCGCCGGGTAGCTCACTGCCGTTGTGTTTTCAGGTTAATCAGATAGACACGGAGCTTGGACGAAAGGAGTACGGACAGCGACGCATATCTCCTCTCCGTACAATTGGCGCCGTCTGTAGGAAGATTTTTACAGACACAACCTTGTCCTCCAAGCTCATCTGATCGCCTTCCATGGCGAACAACGACGAAATACCATTGTCTGCCATCGACGATGTTACCCCGGAGTCAGCCAGACGGAGAGACGGACTCCTCGCCGTTCCAAACATGGCAGACCTGGAGACTTCTCTAGGAGGACTTCTGAGAGATGCATGAGATAAGTGCGCCAGAAGTTTTGGTCGCTCATGGAGCCCAGACGAACACCGGTGGCAAAGAGAATCGCATGCTCAACGTCTGGAGCACAAGTTAAGGGACCAAGACACCGTCATCCAGAGGATGGCGGCAAAGATGGAAGCTCTCAAACGACAGGTCAAAGGGAAGGGTGTTGCTGGGATAGGAGACCACAATGAGTGCACCTAACCCCGCCGCTCAGGCAGCCAGAACCAGCGATACACTCCTTCCTTTTCTATTACCAGAAGCTATAGAATTGGGGACTCAGACACGCCTGCAGAGAAATCTAGCGCCCAAGATAGTACCTACCACCCCTCACAGCCATCGACCATATCAAGATATTCCTACTCCGTTCGTTCAGAGGACTTGAGGGATGTCTTGAAGGAGCGAGCTCGCCAACAGGAGGCTAAAAGAGTGCCGACGTTCCAGCGATTATCTTACAGAGGTCACCATAGTGAGGAGGTTATGATGCCGCCGCCCCGTTTGGCCGTGCCAGTTTCTTTGGACACCGACTTGGCGAGGCTAAACGCCTCCCCCTTCTCCCTTGAAATAGAGACCACGCTGCTCCCAGCGGGCTTTCACCAACCCAAGTTTACACTTTATGACGGAAAAAGCGATCTGTACATGCATGTAAGCCACTTCCGGCAGGTCATGGCTGGACACAGGCGTAATGATGCTCTTATGTGCCCTATTTTCCCATCCAGCTTGGGCGAACTGGGCTTGAAATGGTTTGAGAGACTTTCAGAAGAGAGCATTGAGGGGTGGCAACAGTTGGCAGAAGTATTCGTGACTCTTTTCAAAACCAACACCAAAACGCCAAAGAAAGTAGACCACCTCCTAAGTATCAAGATGGAGTCGAGTGACACCCTCAAGGCATACAACTCTAGGCACTGGAGAACCTTCAACGAGATCCTAGATTGCCCGATCAACCTGGCAATCACCCAATATAAGCGCGGTCTCC